GGCTACCAAGTTAGAACCATGGGACACCCCACCAGCACCACCAGCACCACCAGCACCACCAGCACCACCACAATCAATGCAGTGGAGTTGGATCAATTAAATGGCCTGAGGAATATGATTAACCCAATCCTTTGAGGAACAAAAACTTCAAAACAAAGCAGAAACACAAACACAAATATGTCACCACCTAGAACTTGAAAGAGAAAAGCTGGAATGAGGAAAATCTTGCAAAAATACTGCACAGAATGGGTTTGTTATTCCCACTAAGAAGTACAAAGAACAGATAAGTGTGCTGTTCAGCGCAGTGAGGTGCTGTTTATGGCTGGAAGCACTGACTTAGATGTTTGAAACATTTCATCTAATTTAATCCTTGTAACCACATAAAGGTAGATATTGTCTTAGTTAAGACTTGTTTGGCTGCAAGAAATAAAAACCCATCTGTAATAGTTTTGAAGCAAAAAATGTTTATTATAGGGATGCAAGTTTATCTCACAAAACCCAAAAGCAAGAATGCAACTGGGCAGCCCAGGCTGACCGACAACACCAGGGTCATCTCAGCCCCTTTGTCTGGAGATGTGGTCTTTTACCTCTGCTGTCCTCTGACTTCGACCTGTTCTCCCTGCCTGCTAACTTTCTTTGCTTTTTCACACATGGAAAAAGATTAAGTGCTCCATAGCTTGAGGGTCTGCCTGTTCCAGCCCAGAAACGACTATCTCCACTGCATACCAATCCCAAACTCCCAGGAAAGGGTACTTAATTGATCCAGCTCCACTGCGTTGATTGTGGTGGTGCTGGCGGCTGTCCGGTGGTTCTAAGTTGGTAGTCAGGGCTCACCCCTGTGGGTGGAGAAGAGTGTTCTTGCAGAATGGGCCATGTGCAAGCATTCTCTAAAATGTCTTCCACAGCTAATTGGACAGTAGAACATTTGCAAATGAATGAATGACTGAATGACATGAGACGGTTCTGTCTAACTTCAAAGCCCAGGCTCGCTGTCCTACAGCCATCTGTTTCATTTCCTCAGTAAGAGAGAATATTCTTGTATCGGGGTATTCTCAGGAAAGAGATGGCTTACTCAAATTAGGATAGTTTGAGGAGGGTTTAACAAGGGATTATTTACAAAGGTGTGGTCAGGGTATAGGGATATCACACAGGGGAATCGTTTATTACAGGGGCTAAGAATGAAACGGTCTTGGAAGATGGCGGTTCCAGAACTTAGAAATGGAGAACTGTCCTGGGTTCCTTTCCCACAATTTTGGCCTGGGCTGTGGTAACCCTGGAGCCTGGTCCCGCCCCCTCCAAACACAGGTAATGGGAGATGGCAGCTCCAGAACTTGGACATACTTGAGAGAACTAGGTAGAGAGGGCCGGCCGACAGGCGTTGAGATCTTAGCCAGAGGGACTCAAGCGAGCTTGCCACAACCCCACAGGGAATGAAACAGAGCATTAAATACCGCAGCCTCGCACTCCTACTGCCATTTGATCTTCTGCCTGTGTCTCTCCCATTGACTGGACACAATACAACACCAAAGAGGTAAGGGGATCTTTCTAGGTGGTCCACGCGGGTCAGCCCCATAAACCCATAGCTGGGTGAAGAGGGTGAGGAATTCACCTGAGGAGGCAGACAGACATTTAGGTCTTTAAACTGGAAAATAAAAGCAGACATGTTTATGTAGCCAGATTGGAAGTCCAAAAAGATGAGATTTATGGGTGTCCCTAAAGGCTCCAGATGTTTAATTTTACTGTCTCGGGTAAACCGCATTTCTCTGTATTAAACCGAACATTTCGGCTGAAGTCAGTAACTAATAATAGGTGCCTCAGGGGCTTGCCTGCCAGCTCAGGGTTCCGGACATTCCTTCTTCACTCCTACTAGCACACCTTTGCTTTTATTTGGTTAATACATCAGGATTCCGCTTAAGATTTCATCGCGGAAGTAGCGCTACAGCGCCTCCTATGGCCAGGTATGGTGCTTAGGACTCAAAAATGAATCAAACCCGGGGGTCGGGGTAGCAGGTGGACAGAGAAGAAAGAGTACAGTCGTAGGAAAACGCACAGGTCCTGAAAGTAACTGAAAGAAATAAACCCAGAACGACTTTCTGGAGTGGGTAACCGGAGAGGGGAGGTAAGGAAGCTCAAGGAATATTGCTGTTGTCCGAAAGAGGTTAGAGGAACTCCACAGTTATGCAATTCTCTAAAAAGGGGGGTGAGGAGGCTGGCTGTCACCTGAAAGAACTAGGCTAGGGATCGTTGGACAAGACTGGGAGCCATGGTGACTCGAAGTGATTGGCTACATCTCAGCTCAGGCCTGCCTCCAGCCTTGCTCCGCCCCCATCCCATCACGTCCTCCTCCAACTGTGCGCGGCATTTCACCGATTCCACTCCGCTGCCACGGGATCCCAAACCTCCCGCCCGCAACTCCTGCGGGGGCGGGGGGTGTGCCCCAGTCTCCCAAAATAGCAAGTGGGAGGTGGTTTCTCCGAGGTGGTCGCGCTATCCCGCGGGGCGGGGCGGCCGTGGAGAGGGCTCTCATTGGTTGCTACGGCGGTGATCCAAGAGGCCTTGGAAGGCTGATTGGCCACAGACTCGTAGTGCCGACCACGTCCTCCTTTCCCGGTGTAACTGGGTCAGGACCACTTCTTGGGTAGCTTGGGTAACCCGGATCGCGGCAATGAGAAGGGACTGGGTAGCTTGGGTAACCCGGATCGCAGCAACGAGAAGGGACTGGGAAAGGACGTGCATTTCCAGGGAAGTTTCTGGTTATTACATAGGTTTTCGCGGTCCCCGGGACCTCCTCTTCTGTCTTCCGGGCCCTGGATCCAGGGCAGATGCTGCGGCAAAGGGAAGTGCGTCCGGGGCTGCGGCTTCCGCTGCGCGAGAGCCCTCCCGCAGCGTTGGTTCCCGCCTGGCGGGAGTCCTGGACCGTGAACTAGAAAGCGCTCGCCCTTGAGACGACCGTGATATGGTCACAAAGCCTGAGTTTTCCACCATTCCCTTCCCTACTCACCCTCCGCCAGCCACGTCGAATGCAGCATTTTAACGACGAATCAGGCAGTTCTGGCCTGTAATTTCTCTTCCCCAGTTTGTAACTCCCATTCCCCCATTTTCTGCCTTACAAATCACTGCTTATTCCTTAAAGCTTAGTTCTAATATCACCTTTTTGGCGTAAGTCCAGCCCCATTTTTCCGGACAGTTACTGGACCTCCTTAGGAGTGTTAGCTTTGGAGATGGGCCTCAGTTTGAAATGCGGCGTGATTTTGAGCAAATCACTTAACCTCTATGACCCTCGTCTTTGCTTCTCAAAAATGGAGGTAATGCTAGTGCTTCGAGGGTTTTGTTGTGATTAATGTAAAGCTATCAGAACATAAGTGCTTAATAAATGTGAGCTGCTGTTATTATCCGATGTTCCTTGAATAGGCCTCTTAAAATGTTTGCCGTTTGTATTACCATTATTTGGTTTCGTCTGTCCGGTTAGACTTAGAGCTTTTAAAAGCTAGAACTGTGTCTCATTTATGACGTTGGCAAACAACAATGCTGGGCATTTAAATGTGAGCCATGAAATTATTTCGCATGAAACTTTTTTTAAAGCCCCCTTTCCACACCTTTTCCTTTATTTCTTTCCTTTTATTTTTTTTCCTTTTGAAAGGGAAAATTTAACCCATTTTAAACAGAGAAAGGATTTTAAAGCAATGAGTACTAAAAACAGGGCCACCCACCCGCCCAAAAGATTTCCCCCCCCCCTTAAAGGAAAAACCTTTTTTTTTAATTTGTATTTTTTATAAAAAAAAAAAAAAGCCAATGCTTGGACTCAAAAGATGAAGATCTGTGGAATGAAGCTACTGCTTTAAGTCCTTGCACATGGCAGAATATGATAGGAGGATGTGGAAAGGGTAGTACATCTATTTGAAAGGCATCTTAAATGAGGTCCGTTCATCTTATTGGTACCTATTCCCTTTTCTTTCCTATCTGTTATGAAATGGGCATGAGAAAGATGCAGTTTTCAAAGGAAGGGAACTCAAAGCTAAGAATATAATACCCTTCTTAAAGGATGCTAGGTTTCCTTAAGAGAAGCTAGAGGAAACTGGGGAAGTCAAGGTTGCAAATAGAAGGCTTCTGCAATGCTGGAGGAAGTGTGAAGAGATAGTCCTTAAAGTACGGGGAATGCAATAGATCTATTTAACCTGAGGGGGTAAGGTGGAATAGGATTGAGCCCACATGAAATGAAAGATGATTGAGAAAAAGGAAGGCACTAGGGAGAGGGGAGTTATTTTGGAGTATGAATAAGAGGAAAGGAAACTGGTCACTTGAGCAGCTTTTTAATCACTTACTACTTGGATCTAAAGGGAAGTATCAAGCAGTCAAGTTACTTAAAGAAACTAAAGGATTTAGGAGACAGGGTTTTTGACACACTGGCCTCTTCCACCTGCCCTTCCCCAACAACACTCAAGCATAAATAAACCAACTGCACTGTCAGCGTTTTGATGCCCCCACAAAGGCCAGTAGAGGCTAAGAAGATAGACTTCAGGCTGCTGGTCCTTAGTTTTTCTTCTTTTCTCTAACTGACCTTTCTTAATGTCTGTCCTGCTCCCTGATTCTCTTCTTCTTACTTCCCCTATTTTTCTCATATAGGAGCAGGGTAGATGAAGGATATGAGATTAGAATTTGAGAAAGAAAAGCAGACAAGTGATTAAATTGAAAGAGAAAAAAAGTCTAATGAATGTCTGTGTGAAACAGGCTGGGAATAGCAGGTTTAAGCATTATACAAATAAAATGAAATGCAATTAAGTGCACTTGTGTATTTATAAGATCCCACTGAATGCACTTGACAACTGCACTTGAACAACAGTAAAAGAGATGAAAATAAAACAAGAACATCAACAGGGTCTCCCAGGTCTGATGCTAGTAGAAAGGAAGCTATGAATGTCCTTTCCTGGAACATTTCGGCCATGGAGAGTTACCCAGCTGTCGGGACAGAGGAGGGACCGTCCCCCGAAGGAGTCTTCTAACTAGACAGACTGTGCTTGGGCTAGGCTGGCCCTCCCAAAGGCCCTCATCATGGCCTTCTTCATTTCCTTGTTTTAAAAACTGTATATGATGGGCTTGCACATGGGGGTAGTGATGATGTAGAGGAGGAAAAAAGGCTTGTCTTTGTCAAGGCCATATGTGCTGCTGGGGTTCACATAAGAAAACATGGCCAAGGTATAGAAAAGATGATCACAATCGGATGGGAGTTGCAAACAGAGAAAGTCTTCCCTTCGCCTGAGGAGGAGGCTCTGCTGAGAATGGAGGCCAGGATGCGGGCACGGGAGATGACAATGAGCACCACCACTGTGGCATTGGCAAGGGTCACCCTCAGACTAAATGGAGGGTCTCTACAGAGAGGGTGATCACTATGGGGGCCTCACAGAAGAAGCTTTCTATGTAGTTTTCTCTACAAAAATGGACCATGAAATCATATAATCAAGAGGGATGCTATTGATCAGCCCAAAGAACCAGGCATTACTCACCTGCCTCACACAGACATGCTGGCTCACCATCTGGGCGTGGCTAAACCGTTGGCAGATAGCATAATGACCATGGGCCATAAAAGCCAAGAGGATGCCCTTGGCCACACCCACACCAAAACCCAGCCTCTATCTGAGTCAGGCTGGAGGCAAAGGAGTGTGGTTCTTGACCACCGGGTAGATCAGCATCTTTGGGATAGTGGTGGTGATTAGGCAGATATTCCGGAAGGATGGGCGGCCAAGGAAGACATACATGGGGCTGTTAAGTCTGGGGTTGTCCAGGCGATGAAGATGATGAGGCCATTCATGGCCGTGGCAAGGCTTTAGGAAGACGCCTAGGAAGAGGGCAAAGAGCGATGCCTGAGTGGAAAGGGAGCTCTGCTCAAAGCCCACAAGGATACTTCTGTTCCTTAGGGCCACCATCTGGACCTGCTTTGAGGAGGGAGGACAGGCAAAGCACAGGTGAGAGAGCTGTGTATAGGTGTTACCTACTTGTATGAAAACAGATTGCCGCAAAGGAAATGAAAGACAGGAATTTCAGTAAACTCATGAGTCAGCAGTGTTGTGGGCACTGAAAATGCCAGGGCTGTTGTAGCTATTGTAGGCTGTGATTGTGGGACAGTATTATGAATCAAGAGAGATTCTATTGTGGATCAGGCTATACCTGAAATATTGCATCCAGTCTGGGAGCTCTATTTTAAAGGATTATCCACCAATGGGATTATGTTCAGAGACAAGATGGTGAAGGACCATTCATGTGACAAACTTTGAAGGAAACTTTAAAGGGAAGACTCAGGGAGAATCTGAGAGGTCCCTTTAAATGTTAATGGTTTTTCCATCTGGAAAAGATGATTTCTTTTTAAAAATAAAGATTTGTATTTATTTATTTTAGAGAGAGGGGAAGGGAGAAAGAGAAGGAGAAAAATATTAATATGCGAGAGAAACATCAATTGGTTGTCCCTTAAACTCCCCCAACTGGGGACCCAACCCATAACCCATGCATGTGCCCTGAGCAGGAATCAAACCAGCGATCTTTCAGTTTGCAGAAGGATGCCCAAAACACTGAGCTGCACCAGAGTGAGAATTTACAGTACTTTTTCTGTGTAATCTCAATGAGTAGAATTTGAACTAGAGAGTGAAAATACCAGAGAGAAAAATTACTGATATTTCTAATTGTAAATTTTCTTTGTTCTCTTCATTATGAAAGATGCTTGTTCTTTGTAGAACATCTGGAGTATGCCAAAAAAGTAAAGCAAAAATAAATAAACATAAAGAATCACCCACAGAGAAAACCACATCAAATTTTAGTTTATATCTTTTCAATAATTGTTTTTTTATGTTTAAGACCAACACAAGGCCTGAGTGGAACCTGCCACAGGTACTTAAGTGGCAGAGATAAGTGTATCTTCAGGCAGAAATGCAGCAATTACAGCTGATTGTAGGTGAGGGGGTCAGTTATAGTCCAATAGGGAGAAAGTAAAAAGGACAAAAATTCATTTTTTAAATGGAGGACTGGGAACAATTGCACTACACCCTACGTTATAGCCCCAAATAGTTTATTCATTTAATAAGCACTCATTTAATAAATGAGTGCTTATGCCCTGACTGGTGTGGCTCAGTGGACTGAGTGCTGGCCTGCAAACCAAAGGGTTGCTGGTTTGATTTCCAGTCAGGGCACATGTCTGGGTTGCAGGCCAGGTCCCCAGTAGGCAGTGCGTGAGAGGCAACTACACATTGATGTTTCTCTCCCTCCTTTCTCTAAAATAAAAATAATAATTTTAAAAAATTAAATGAGTGCTTACCGTGTTCCATGTATTGTTCTAAAGGCCAGGGATATAGAGATAAAATCATGCATTAGAACTTCTTCCATGACTTCATGGGGATTATACTATATCCCAAGTCATTAGACCAGGGGAATAAGTAACGATATAGAGAATCCATCTAACGTGGATAATGTTAACAAGTACACATTTATAAGCAGATACATTTCAAACTCTATCACCTCTATAGAGGGAATGTACCCTTTTGAAGGGTTATGGAACATTTGCAAAATAGTGTTGATATGTTAGAGTGTTGATATATTAGATACAAAGAAAACTTCAAAAAGCCAAACAGTGCAGAATATATTCACCTCACTATAGGCATTAAAATTCTTAAATTTCTGTATAGAGGAGATTTCTTAAAACTATGTTTATTTTCTCTCCTTGAAGTATGAGAAAAAGATTATAGGGGTCAGTTTGTGGAATTTTTCATCACACTGTACTCATTAAATACCTTACAAATTTTTCAATTATATCCCAATAAAGCTGAAAAAAGTATGTCACATTCAAGGGGGAAAATAGTATTTGTTTGTTGTTTTTACTTTGAGAAAAGGTGTAAACTCTTACCGAATATTTTACATTTAGTAAAACAATACCGAATGTATTGTTTGGGTAAATTGTAGATAACCTTCTTCTGATCAGCCCGCCACCAGCGGTGTCCTGTAGTTGGCGCAGGGCCAGAAGACCTCTGGAGGGACAGTGAATGCAGAAATGAAGCCTGTGCTCACTTCACCAAGCTGTGCCCCTCGGTGAGGGGCTGTGTAAACTCAGTGGAAGTGCTGCCTTTTTCTAATGCTTCCCTGAGGGGGAGTAACTTCCGATAATTAGCCCATGTGTGTTAGAGAAGCCCTGCTGGTCAGGAAGATTTGGCCATGTGCATATTTAAATTTCAGCACTTAAACTTTTTGACTCATAGGATTATTGAAATCTTAAATGAATAATAAGAAATAAGTTTACATTCCTCTGAGTGGGTCTGAGGAATAAAAAATTAATAGTCATTTTTTCCTAATGCAGTGGTACTCCCAAGTGCGGTCGGCAGACCAGCAGCAGCAGCATCACCTGGGAACTTGATTAGAAACACAGGGTGTCGGGCTTCACCCTGGAATCATAAACTCCGGAGCTGGGGCCCAGAAATCCCTCGTGTGATTCTGATGCATGTTAATCATTGAAATCCACTGGTCTAATGCAGGGGTGGACAAACACAATGGCTCTCAAGCTAAATACAGTCCACTGACTATTTTAGTAAAGTTTAATTGGAACATAATCACGCTCATTTGCTTATGTACTATCTGTGCTTGTTTTCCCCACTACAGTAGCAGAGCTAAGTAGTTGGCCCAGAGATTATACAGCTTGCAAATATGATTGTCAGATGTAGCAAATAAAACTATAACATGCCCATTTAAATGCGATTTTCAAAACTGAACAATTTTTTATTATAAGTATGTTCCTTGCAATGTTAGTAACACAACACACAAAGCCTAAAATACTTACTATCTGGGCCCTTTACAGAAAGTTTGCTGACTCTTGCTTAATGCAATGATCTTAGAGTGAAAAAAGCAATGAAAAGAGCCTTAAACCTGATTACAGACCTGGGATTCTGGGGTGCTGAGTCTCAAGTACTTCCTTCCCCAGAAGGCAGCTCAAGCTAAAAGATCAATCTGCCTGGGATGGAATGGCAGTTGGTGCCACTAATGTTTCTGTCTGTTAAATTGAATATGTCAGTTGCTTTTCCTTTTGTAAGTGTCTGGTGTTACACATGTTCAATTAAGATCAAGTGGATGTGTTAGAGGGATTGTCCAGTTCATACAGAAGCAAGTCTGTGACAACCATAAAACGAGGCATGGTTATAAAAATAAGCTTGTCCACTTAGAAACTGATAAAAAGCCCTCTGAAAATAACTTTTAGGTCAAAAAGGAAATTAAAGCAGCAATTACAGACAATCTAAAAAACAAAATAAAAGTAGTAAGTAGTATATATTAATAAATACTGCACAGTTGTTACAGGAAAAGTTAATGGCATGACATACTTTTTACTACTTGACAAAAAGGTATAGTGATACATGAAATAAATAAAAATGAAATAACTCAGGAGGTCTGAAGCAGACAGACAAAATTAACCTAAGGAGGACTAGAAATGGAAAATGTATAAAGATCATAAAAAATTATTAAATACAAAAATAGGAAAAAGTTAATAAATTCAATAAAAGGCTCTTTATTTTATTTTTTTAAGATTTTATTTATTTATTTTAGAGAGGGGAAGGGAGGGAGAAAGAGAGGGAGAGCAAAATCAGTGTGTGGTTGCCTCTTGTGTGCCCCCTACTGGGGATCTGGCCCGAAACCCAGGCATGTGCCCTAGATTGGAGAACTGGGCCTTTAAAAACCCAATAAAATAGACAAACTACTTATTTATCTCACAACAATGTCCACAAATGAGGTGGGGGAAAGAAGCACAAACATGCAAATTACAAATAAAAAATGTAAACCTAAGTATCCATTGATAGATGATTGGATAAAGGTGTGCCCACACACCACACACACACACACACACACACACACACACACACACACACACTAGAATACTATGCCAGAAAAAAGATAAAATACTGCCATTTGTGACAATATGGATGGATCTTGACAGTATTATGCTAAGTGAAATAAGTCAGATGGAAAAGGACAAAAGCTGTATGATTTCACTCATAGGTGGACCACAAAACAAAAATGAATAAACTAACACAACAAACAAAAACAAGCTCAAACACACGTACAACAGAATGGTAGTTATCAGAAGGGAAAAAGGGAGGGAGAAGGGTGAAGTGGGTAAAGATGACCAAATAGATGGTAATGGAAGGAAACTAGACTTTGGGTGGGGAGCACACAGTCGAGTTCACAGAAGTTGAATTATAATTTGTACACCTGAACATTATGTAATGTTATTAAACAGTGTTACCCCAGTAAACTGAATAAAAAATAACAAAAAGTAAAATAATCACAGCCACACACACAAAAAATTATGCAACAGTACTTTGCAAAATCTTATGACAATCAATTTGAAAGTCTGGAAGATAACTTTCCAGGTAAATAGAAATCACTAAAATTTGTTAAAGAAAAGATAGAAACCAAATTAAACTAATATCCTTAGAGAAGTAAAAGAAATGCAACAGTTCTGAACTTTGGTTTCATATTATCAGGCACATTGAAGGGTTTTAATGTGCCCCCATTCCCAGGCCACATGCCAGACTAATCAAAACAGAATGTATTCAGAGGGACTCAGGCTAATTCCAAAGTGCAGCCAAGTTTGAGAACTTTTAAACTAGAGAAGCTGACAAAGAGCTCCAGTCCTGACAGTTCTACAAGTTCTTTCTAAACTTGCAGCAATTGGATATTTTTGAAGTCTACTGAAACTATTCATAGGAACAGAAAAAATAAGCTTCCTGATTACTTTTACAAAGTCATCAAGTCTTTGACACCAAAACCTGCAAAAGAGCACAAAACTGTGAAGATAACTTATTTATAATGATGAACTAGGCTAAATAAATTACAAGTTAATGAAATCCATCAGCATAATAAGAATAGTGTGGAAAACAGGATGGAGTTTCCTCAAAAA